CGGGCGCAGAACAACAGCACCTGAGCGACCCAGGGCCGGAGGCTCGCCAGACTCCAAACCCTGTGCCCGAGCAACTGCACGACGCGCATCGGAATGTTGGTCATGATCACGTCGTTGATCAAACTTCCGCTAGTCGCGGACATGAAGTTGTCGAGCAAATAGTAAACGCACCAGCACGTGTCGCCGAGCAAGTCCGGGTCGTTGTAGGTTATCAGCTTGACGACCACATCCAAGATGGCGGTTGCGTAGCTGCGTGAAAAGTTGTGGCAGCCGCGACACATGTTGGAGATGGACCAAATGCCGTAGCGCATCACGTTGAGTGTGCAGACTGGCGAGTCGACGTTGCCAGTCTCGCGAATAATCGCGTCGATCACGCCCGACTCGATGATCATGCCGCGGTTCTCGCGACAGTCGCCCGCAATGTTGCCCAAACCCCAGAGCGACTGCTCGATCAGGAACTTATCGCCTGAGTCGAGCAGCTCGCCGAACGCCGCGATGCCACCGGCCTCAACGACCGCCGAAGTCTGCGAGCTAGAACCAGAGGCGACGTTCGTGAGCGTCCAGGCCGCTTCGAAGCGCAGGCTGTTGTGGTCGGTGCGCTCGCGCATAATTTTGATGAACGGCTCGACGAGCCCGATGTCGATGAAGGTTTGGATCGGCGGGTCGTAGTCATTGGAGAGGCTGCGCCGCACGGTCTGCACGCTTTCATATAACACATTGTCGTCACTGCTGAATAGCCCTTCGAGCACCTTCTCGGAAACGAAAGTTTTCTGCGGCTTCACGCTGCCTGCGAGCGGCTTTGCGCTCTGAGTGTCGTCGTTCATGCTCAGCTCGCCGGCCGACGGCTCTGCGTGTGTCGCGTTGCCGCGGCGCTTCGCGAGCTGCGCTTCACGCGCCGCTTTGCGGATTTGAAACTGCTCGTTTTCGCGCCGCCGCAGCGGGTCCTCAGCCGCGTTTTTGAAGTCTTTGCAGCGCTGGTTAGTTTTCGGCAACATCGATCGAACCAGCGAGCACCGCCAATATAGCGCAATATGAATATGTAAAAAGAATTCACTCAAATTTGAACGGGTACGACGCCATCTTGCGCGTCGCTGCGTTGAGCAGCAGCATTTCTGCACTCGACTGCAGCGCAGGGACCACCGCAATCAGTGTGCCGTTTTCGAGCTGCCGGTGCTGGGCGCCGTCGCGGGCAACATGTGAATAAAAGACGACGTAGTGGGGAAAGTCTTCGTCGCGCAACACCAGATTAGCGTTCGCGTGTGGCGCGGAATACGAGACAAGTGCGGTAAACGCCTCGAGCTGGCGGAAGCGCACAAACTGCTCCGCAGCGTCTAAACTGCTGCCGCCCTGAAAGCACCGCAAAAACGCGTCGAACAGCTCGCAGCCGACGCACAGCAGCCGCTGGTCGCCACCCACGATGAATTCCGTCGGGTTAGGCACCGTGCACACAGCCGCGAGCCCGCCGGCAGCAGGAAACAGCAGCCGCGGAAGCGGCATCAGCGGATAAGTGCAGTTCGGCGCTAGCGCGAGGCTCGATACCAGGTGTAGCCGCGTCTGAGCCGCCAGTGCATGCAAGGCACGATCGGCGCTCGCGAGCTGCGCGTCCGTAAGCGTGGCGGCCACGTTTCCAGCGTCGCCGCTAAACGCGGCGCCGAACACCACCACGTCTGCAATCTCGGCAGCGTGAGCGGCGACATAGTCGATCAACAAGCTCGTCAGCAAACTCAGGCCGCCACTCGCGTCCGCCAATCCGCCACAAAATAGCACTTGCCGGCTAGCCGCGGAGACCGGCAGCGGCAGCGCGGGCAACGGCGGCAACAACACGCTTTCAATCGAGAAACAGCCGTCGTCCTGCAGCCGTCCGCCGACGCACACGAATGTGCCCGCGACGAGTGTGTACTTGGCTACAACCGCCTCAGTCAGCTTGCACGGCACGCGCCCGGTTTCGTCTTCCAAAAAAATAGCTCGACTGCTGCGGGCGTCGGCCAGATACACGTTTTGCTCGACCAGCAGAGAGTCGATGTTCAACTTAAGAACGTCATGCGACAGATCACAATCGCAGCACACAATTCCGAATAGCCGCGCACTCGCGCCCGCTCGCAGAGAGTCGGTCGTTGCGAGTTCCGCGCCGAAGCAGCGCGCGAACACCGTTTTCAGCTGCGCGTTCCGCTCGAGGTATTTGCTGTCAAACATGCTTTCATACCGAAAGTCGCTCTTGCGAAACCGATCCGTCAGCTCGAGCAGTCCCCGCGACATGCAACTGCTGGGCAGCCTGCGCGGCTACGGCGATCGGTATTCTTTGATGGATTCGCTAATGCGAGATTTTAATATGTCGATTTTTTTGCGGTGTCTTATTTCACGCTCGAGCGGGTTGCACGCAATGGAGTACAGGTCGATCGGCTTGCTCTTCTCAACCGCCGCGCTGATCACCTGCAGCTCGCGGTTGCGCAGCAAGACGAGCGTCTCGGACTCGGTCTGAGTTTCGTCCGCGGAACGCACCGCCGCGCCAGGCCGTTGCTGCATGTTCTTCAGCATGAACTCAGACGCGTACAGGCTGGGGTCCGCCAGCCGAAACGGCTTTAGGTTGAAAGCCCACTTGCTTTGCGGCTCCGCGAGATTCTTCAAGTACGTGCCCAGCGCCGCGGAGCTCAGCGCCTTCGCGTAGCGCCCGCACGCCTCCCGGACAGCCGCATCGCTTTCAACGAAATCCGCGAACGCACGCGACTTTGCCGCGTGCTCGGGCACCGCGGCGTCTGCCGCGGAGCCTTTAGCCTCTTCCGCCATCTCCCGTGTTCATGAAGATCCTTCCCATGAGCAGGACAAAAACGTTTAAATAGCTTTTTTCATTACTAATTGCCGTAAATGGTGAAGCACAACAAAGCGGTTGATTGCAACCAAAGTCGTAAAGACCTGCACCCTCTTTACAAGACCTGGCTGAATCAGCCTGCACGTAAGCAACGCCGACGCCAGGCGCGCCAGGCGAAGGCCGCCGCCTCGCCGCTGGCGCCTATCAACTGTCTGCGTCCTTTCGTAAACTGCCCGAGCCAGAAGTACAACTGGCGCGTGCGCGCAGGCCGCGGCTTCACGCTCGAGGAAATTGCCGCCGTCGGACTGAACAAGCACTCGGCGCGCAGCGTGAAGATCGCCGTAGACGAGCGCCGCGTTAACTCCAATAAGGAGGCTTTTGAGCGCAACGTCAACCGCTTGAAGGAGTTCTTGGCCAACATAGTTATCGTCTCGAACAAGAAGGTCGCGGGCAAAGCGCACGCCGGACTCCCCGCCGCGGTCGCCGCCACGCAGGTTGCTGGAAAACAGCGCGTGATCAGGATCAGCAACAAGCCAGTGCAGGACCGCAAGGTGTTGGTCTCCGCTTAAGTTGCCATAGTTGGGTTCACAAAATGCATACATGTCTTTACGCGTACGCACAAGCCCAGTTTTTAACGCCCGCGATCATTTTCGAGTCGGTTTGATCGCTGGCGTACTTGCTTAAACTCTTCAGCACACCTGCGTAATCTAAATGCAAACTTACACACTGCGAAGCGCCGCTGATACTGCGAAACTAGACGCTGCTCGTGCACGGGGCTGCCTGCGCAGCCGTTTTTCTGCGCTCCCGTCAACGGAACTTACAATGCTTTGTGCAGCGTTCGCGAGCACGCCGCTCAGCAACCGGCGCTGCGCGCCCTTCATGAAACCAGCCATGCCCTCTTCCGAGTAGATTGTCCCAGCAGTGGCGAAGAAGCCTGTCTCTCGCAGGCGCAAACTTACTAGGAGTCCCGTTGCTCAGCACGGAAAGTAAATTGCGATGCCGCACCACGCAGTAAAGCGGGTGACACAGCAACTGGGCGACCAACGTCGGCCCTACCGCACGTGTCGCCTGCGTGCCCAGCGAGTCACACTGTGCACCGTCGCGCCGCAGCCGCGCAGCGCAGCGCTTCTGTAGCTGCTCCTGCAAACGGTTTACCGCGAACGTGCTGAGCGCGCCGGTGTATAACCCACGGACGCCGTTCGACAAGAGCACAAACGAAGTCGCGTCGCTTATCGTCTTCAATTCAAACGCGTCGCTGCTGCGCAGCTGATCATGGTGCGTCCACCGGAGAAACTTCTGCGCAGCCCAGCTGAGCTTCCGGTTTCCGGCCGGTTTCGCCGGCTGCTCAGTGGCCTTCAAAACGGCAGTGAGGACGGGGTTCGCGCTCAGAACAAACTTGCTGAAGTCCGTCGGATAGCCCGCGATTTCCATCCAGTTGGACCGAATGAAAACGCCTAGTGTCATTTCGGCTGGGTAATCGCCAAAATCAATTATAAATCTATCTTTTTGCGAGCGCTGAAGCGCCAGCTTCCATGCCCGCCCGTCGCCGAGTGACGCTCGTCGGCAACACGTTCACAAAGCACACCGCTCACCGCGCGGCGCAGCACGTTGCGTAATGCTCAGCGGATCGACGTACTCGCAGGACTACACAGCGAAGCGGCAGCGAGATGCTCTGCATCGCGCCTCCACCGACGCCGCAGTGACCGTGCAGAGGTTCGCACGCATGTGGTGCGCGCAGCATCGCTTTGTGCGTATGTTCGTGTACAAATTCACAGTCTTTAAGACACAGCTGCCAAACGCGAGCATCTCTGCGTCGCTCGCGCTGCTGAGACTGCTATCAGTTGTTCGCAAACACTTCTGCTTCAACGCTTCGCTCTTCGTGCTTGCGCGGGACTGCGTCGTCGTAGGCACAGAGTGCCTGACCTACTCTCCGGAGAACCCGCTTTCACGCTTAGCGCAAATCACAGGCTTAATCCTAAGTCCCGAGGCCTGCGACTCTTCCGAAGTCAATTCTTTGTTCCAGTTTGATTTTCGTGGCTTCATTGCGGCGAGCGCACAGACTTTCCCGGACTCCCCCTGCATTCTGGCGCCATGCTACTATGCGCCTCTGCGATCACTGTTACAAGCGCTTGCAGCAGCGCTGAAGCGCGAAAGCTGCGCTTCTTTTCAGCGCGCCGTAGATCGTTCACTCATCCTCGAATCACTCGACGCGTTTTTGCAACTCGGCAGGCTCATGATTTCGCAGCCGTTCAAATTCAAATTCCGCCAAAACTGCGCAGAAGTTGATCTCTCAGTCGTTTCTGCGAGTGCCATACGCTTGCTAGAAGCCACGTCAAACGAACCAGATCTTCGACTGTCGTTTATCGATCAACTGTGCGCTTTTCCACGCGTTTTCACGGAAGTGTGCGTAAACCAAGTCAACTGGCTTTGCCGTCCGCAGCTTTTTCTTGATGTCTTTAAGACGTTCGTTGCGCGAGTAGACGAGAACACTGTAAGCTGCACCCCTCTCACACGGAGCGAAATTACTGCACTTCAGTTCATGACCCGCACGCTAGCTGGAGCTCTTGTTAACCAAGCCGCAATAACAGCCACTTCAATCGTTGCAGACGACGCCCTCTGCAACGTCTTCCAGCGCGTAAGAGACTCAAGCGCTTGTCCAGCTGCTTCTATGCCATGTACAATAGAGTCATCCACAGTGTTTGCGCGAGCCATCTTCCAGTCACTGCTAGGCAGTCACGAAACATCCGGATTCACTTTGAGAATGTGCAGCGCGCACCTCAACCTCAACCACTTTGTAACGCTGCTTGCCGCAATTTACTTGCTCATCCTTGAAGCGGTGACGACACAAAGCACTAGCATGTTTGAGTTCCGCGCAACCGTGCTCTATGCTTCTTACTTCTTTGCCTTGAAGCACAATGCTCAGACTACTCACTTCCCAGAACTCCAACTACTTAATAACCTTCAGTTAAACGATTTCTTCACTAAACAGTTGCGCGAAGCTCTGAACTTTCTCACTACAAGAGCTCAAGGCGACGCGCAAAACTCGTCACTCGACGGCGATAGCTTGTTGCTGGTCAGCTGCTTTATCACGCGCCAACCTCTTCGCCCCGCAGATCTAGAATTTTGCGATAGCCTGCGTAATTTGCTCGATTCTCCCCGGTTCAATGGCTCTACTGCTGCCGACAGCGG